TTTGACTTATGTGGCGGATTAAGATTTCTTGGGGCCCGTGGGCTTGGGCTATTTTTGTTTTTGGAGACCTTTTTATGGGCTAGAGCCTAAAAACAACTTAAAAAAAAAAAGCCCTCTAAAATATTTTAGGGCCCCTAAATTGGCTGGGCCATGGCGTTATAGCCCACCTAGCCACTTCCTTGATTCGGAACTGTGTAAAGAGTATTCAGTTTGGATTTGTGTGTACTTTCCCATGTCTCCTTCCTAACAAATGGTGCTATTTTTATTAGTACTAATTGGTTGCAAAAAAAAAGTTAATAGGTAAAATCTCTTCTTCTTTTAATAGACCTTTCCCGTTTATTGGCACACGCGCAATGTATCGAGGCAGTTGTATTTATCTAAATCAAAACAAATTTTTATTTGTATTTCTTTGTTTTACTTGCCGTATAATATTATTTACAATAAGATTTATAATATTATACGGGCAGGACTTTAAGAAGATCGTAATGACCTTTTCACGTAGCCCTTTTCACGTAAACTCTATTTTCTTCTACAATAAAAATATATATATATATACTATATAAAATAAAAATACACTGAAAATATATAGTCACTAAATATATCATAAATCTAATACTCTACATACTTCATAAGTGAAACTCAAAGTAAAACATAACAAATCATTATGCATAATAGCAACTGAAAATATTTTTTAAAAATCAGAAAAAATCAAGATATTTTTTGTTGAAAAAATGATTTTTTTAATAGATTATTTGAAAAAAGAATAGTTCAATTTAGATGAAAAAACATAATTAGGGCGTACTATTTCATTTCATAGAAAAGGTTCACTATAAGATATGCAAAATTGAGCTTGTTTATTTTTGCAAAAAGGTGTTTCTAGAATGCTATTATTACGTAGTTTATATTTGTTTTTGGGTTTGATTTTTTAAACGTTTACAAAAACATCGGGGGAAATAAGTAAGGACATTAAAAAAATTTAGTTGATAAACATTTAGCGTCCATTTCTTTAAAAAGCGAAGGCGTCCATTTCTTTAAAAAGCAATTGTCGAAGAGCCTATTAAATGATAATAATGAAGTTAAACTTTGTAAGTATAGTGAAGTTGAACTTAGTGAAAGTATTAAAGTTAAACTTTGTGAAAGTAGCGAAGTTGGACTTTGTGAAAACAGTTAAGTTAAACAAAATCTCAACTGTGAAATTGAGTTATCTATTGACTTCAGTTTCTGTTTGTCAATACAAACAATTAAAAAAAGAGTTTGTTACAAAAAAAGTGGTACTTGTTGTGTACCTAACTGTTTTAATAACTCTAAGCATAAGTGTTTTAATAACTCTAAGCGTCGTCACATAGAGTTTGTTTAGCACATTTCATTTTGGTTCAAGGCAGGGGTGGAAAAAGTAAAAAAAAAAATGGACTCAAGTAAAAATACTGTTACTTGAGTGAAATTTTACTCAAGTACAAGTAAAAGTTACCGGTCGAAATGTTTACTCAAGTAAAAGTAAAAGTTACCGGTCGAAATGTTTACTCAAGTAAAAGTAAAAGTTACCGGTCGAAATGTTTACTCAAGTAAAAGTAAAAGTTACCGGTCGAAATGTTTACTCAAGTAAAAGTAAAAAGTTATTTGAAATGTATTCAGAGTAATAGTTATTACTTTTTCAGATAACAAAGCTGTCGAATAAAAAAACAAAAATCACATAGTCTATTCTTTTCTGTATAAATTTTTTTTTTTGAACAGAAATTTTTTTTTATGGTCATAAAAAGTGAAAAGAAACCAAGCTAAAGCGGATAAAAGTCGCTGTGAGCTCGCTCAACATTTTTTTAAATGTTGTCATTTTTAGTAAAGTGAGCAAAACTAAAAAAAATAAAAAAATAAAATCATAGTCTTTATGAAATTAAACAATATGTAATAAATTTTTTACTCAGTAACGCGTATGATTTCAAATCTAGCGAAGTACAATACTTTAGAAAAAGAATACTTAAGTAAAAGTAAAAGTACGCATTTAAAAAATACTTAAAAAGTAGAAATTCACAAAATAACTACTTAATTACAGTGAAGTGAGTAAATGTAATTTGTTACTTTCCGCGTCGGGTTCAAGGTGTATGAAACCCTAAACTGTTTTATACACCCAATTTCATTTCATTTAAAATGGTTCAGAGTCTCAGTTTTCACATGCTTACAACAGCCCCCTGCACCAGCTTTAGAATTGCATTTAGCTATATACCGGTTTAATTACCGGAATACCGGTATTAAAACCGGTATTAAATATTTTGGATTTTTAAAGGAAAGTAAATAAATTTACCAATCACGAAAACTTGAAAAGAATGCAAATTTATTGATCTACATGGTAGAACCTTTATCTTTTATTCTATAAAAATAAGCTCTTTAAAAACAAAGAGAATCCAGAGTTTTGTCGTCCATTCTGCACCGCAACTTATTCAAAATAATACCGGCAGCAGAAAATGCTATTTCGGATTCAACGCTAGTTAGTCGAATCGTTAAAAGAAGATCATAAACCTGTTTTTCCTCGCACACCTTCATCTTCAAAGAGACTCATTTCTTTTTTTAAACACTTGATTATATTACCTGCGTGTTCTGGTTGTTTCCCGACAACCTTATAGTTTATTTGCTTACAAATGGCCTTGTACATCTCTTTTTTCATTGATTTCTCAGAATTTTTTCCTTCGTCAATCTCAACTTCTCTAACCTCAAAGTGAAGAATTTCCCGGGCTCGTTCTTCAACAGCAGTGCTTTGATTCCTAAGTCCCTTCTGATTTACAATGCCCAAAAGTGAATTGAGATCGCTCGCTTTTGATGGACGTGGAAAGTTAAAACTTAATAAATTTGAGTTTCTAATACCATCTTCTAGACCTTTATGTAGATAAGAAATTAAGTTGGACAACTACGTTTTTCTTGCAATAATACGCTGTTTTAAAGCACTCAGAAATTCAATGCTCGATGATGACTTAATTTCACATAGCCTGCCAAACATAAATGTCAATGCTGCATCCGCAGAAATTAAGTTAGCATCCTTGCAACAAAGTGACTCAACGGCTAACTTTACCGGAAAAAGTGCTGAGATAGTAGCTAAAACTGTTTCAAAATAATAAGCTATTCCATCTAGTTTTGGAACCTGCAATTAAGAAGTATTCTTTTTATACGAAATTCGAGCTTTACATAATTCTGTAGTACCTCATCTTTTAACCGTGAACGTTTAAATATTTGCACGATTTTCCTTACTTTTTGTATAAGGGAACCAATTTGACTATGTGTTATTTCTGTATCTTGTTCTTGTATATCGTAATCCATAACTAAACCTACTTCGAAATAGTTTAAATATTTTTTAAAGGCACCATAGTTTTCGTACTCTTTGGCATCTGAGTATGAGTCGAGGTTTATTGATTCATTCGAGCAAATGGTTCTTTCTTCGGTTCTTTCATTTTTATATAAAACATTTACAAATGCAAGTTAAATTGCATGGGCCAAACACAACTGCTGAGCAGCCGGTATTAATTTGCCTACTTTTTGCATAACTGTTGCACCATCATTTTTTAAACAAATGATATTCTTTTCTAATGACAAACCATACTGATTCAATTTTTCACTTAAAAGAAAAACACATTGTTTTTGCAGGTAAACTGTAAAAGTAAAACATTGATTCGGAGAAGTCCTAAATTTTAAAACTTTGACTCCAAGTGAAGATTCACGTTTATGTACCGCCGGTTCCTTAAGGAAGTCCACTCATCAAAAGTAATACTAAAACCTTTTCCATTTAATTTATACTCTGATATTTCTTTAATTACTAACTGGCGAATAGTTTCGCGATAACTAGTGACAATTTTTTGTATAGTCGTGACGGATTTTGGAAGTTCATCATCGGATGTTATGAAAATTCTGAATGGAAGATCATCAAGTGCTTTCATTCTTGATAAAATTGCTGCCAGCGAGTCTTCTGTAGTTTTTTAAAAATATTTAGTATTTTTTGGAGGAGGCAATTCAGATAATGAACTAGAATTACCAAGAAGTTCAATAGCATCTTGTTTTCGTAATATTACATCATGCTTTGTTTTTGTGTATGAAGGCCGCTTGTTGAGCCACCTGCTGTTTTTATAATTTTTGCGCATTTCTTACACTTTTCACTATGCCCTTTTTCATCTTTGAGAAGAAAAAACCAAATAGAATATTTATTTCCGCGTTTTGAATGCTCAATAAACTTTTTAATTTCACTCTCCATCGGTTAAATTAGAATATTATCTCAATTTGTAAATGTTTTACATATTTTATCCTCACAATGTTTATATCAGTCACATAATGTAACTGATATAAACATTAAATAAAATGAATTTAAATATTTAAATTTAAAATTGAAAATGTTAATTTTTAAACTTATTAAAGTTGTTTTTGGTAATTACTTTAAAAAGTATCAAAGAAATAGGGATATAAAGATTGTGTAATTTGTATAAATGTGAACTCGTTTTTTACTTTTAGATCCTCGCCGTATAACTAAAAATGTAAAATCAAGAATTCAAAAACTAAAGAATGTTTATCACATTGCTTTAAAGTATAAGCCAAAAATGTATAAGCTAAAAATGTAAAATCAAGAATTCAAAAACTAAAGAATGTTTATCACATTGCTTTAAAGTATAAGCCTTTATAGTTATTTCAAAAAAGAAAAAAAACAACAACCCGTAATTATAAACCTCCCGGGAATTTGAATGATTTTAAAAATGAGTTAAGTAATAATGCGAAGACAAATACCGGAATAACGGTATTTAAGCCATTTAATACCGGTATTCGAAACTAGACAAATTCGACCAAAATCTCGGTTTTCGGTATCCCGGTATACCGGTATTGGATTCCCTACATTTAGCAAAGCACTTTGCTAGCAGATTGGCACATAATTATTTTTACCCAAGCAATAGTCAAGATCTTGATGCTTTTTGACTCCTGTTTTACAATTATCTATAAATGTAGTCTCATTAATAAGATAATCTTTGATAAAATGTCTATGTTGAAATACTGTTGTTTATAGATTCCTCTTCATCGACAGTAACAAGTTCATCATGATTAAGTTCACGAAAAAAACAGCCGAACTCTAAGAAGCCAGCTCTAAGAAGAGCTAGCATCAGTTTTATTTTCTAAATCAAAAGAACTCATGACTATAATAAAATATACTTAAAAAAATGTTAATTCGGATTGTTTAAATTTCAATGAATACAAATTGTATGTACTTTAAAGGTACATACGCAACGATAAAAGAATCAGAGACTTTAGTCTCTGAGCCCATTCACCTTACCCCTTATTATTATTTCACGAAATGCACTTTGGTATTTGTATGTTCTGAAAAACCAAAAACTCGCAATTCATAGTTTTTGTTTTTCATTATTTTGTGGCTTGCTCGTACGTAGATAATAGTTTTCTCTCTTATAATAAATTATATTTACGCCAAATTTTTTGCATTTCTTATTATATTCGCAGGAAAATAACTGCATTGTAATATAAACAAATATTTTAACGCAGTTGTAGTTAAATTTCGTTAGAGCTTGTTTGAAGTAGATTTTACCAGTATACATAAGTAAAAGAATATATAATTAACTCTATAGATATTCCTGTTGGTTCTAACTTTTAAAAGCCCTAGCATGATTCCACTAAATGCAAGTTTTTGTATAATTACAAACGAGGAATTTAATTTTGTCACTATTGAACTTCAAGATTTTACCATGTTTAAATACATTTTATTTCCAGTTTATGATTAAAAAAATATTTGAAAGAATGTAAAAGTATGTAAAAATTGTTATGAGAATAACCATTTTTTTTATTCTTCAATTTTTTTTTGTTGGAAATTGCATAAAATGATACATTTTTATGTTTTACTTAGTTGCTAAAGTAAGGTTACCAAACTTTCTCTGCTTACAAAGGAATGCGCGCCAAAATATGTTTTTGCTCCTAGTTGACGAATACATTTAATTTATATTTTTTACGTTTGCCGCCGTGGTTAAACTCTAGTATGATTGAATGTCATTTAGTTTAGCTAACTCTCTTACGGAAAAGGAGGACGTATGGTAACCCTAGCTAAAGCATTTAGGAACACCACATGTAAAATCCCGACTTCCTTTTTTTTTTTTTTTTTTTTTTTTTAGTTGAACAACATTGTTTGGTGCACTTGTTGTTATCTTTTCTTCAAATTCTTATATAATGCAAAGTTTACTCCAATAATATAGTTTTTAAAATTTGAACTAAAAAACTTAAAAGGTGTGAAATATAATACACCGAAGTCTATTGGTACTATCTCAGTTCTTTCAATATAACATTTTACTCAACAGATTTTAGTAGTTAATTAAAATCCTTAATCAAAACCTTAAACCACGTTTTACCAAAACAACGGCCACTCCGACCCCTTGGTAAAACTTCGTTCAAAGGTGGACTCTACTAACAATAAGCTTTGTCAAAGCATTTAATAAAGTATCTTAAATGCTTAAAAATAATATTTTCTAATAGAAGATTACAAAAAATATAAATTAATTAAACGTTCATGTTTGATTGAAGTCTTTCATTTTGCATTTAAATAGAAGCGTACCCAAATGGCGTTCTGAAAAAAAGACTCAGTCTTTGATCCAACACTACTGATGAACTTTATCAGCTACTTTTTAAACATGTTTGCTTGTAAATGCCTACTTTCTAATTCCTATAAAGACTACGAAAAGCTAACATTGTCTCTATACATAGATATTATTGTTTGATGGATCCTAACTGCTTTTAATCAACCCCAACTGCTTTTAATTGCATAAAAAGCAGTTAGGGCCTATTAAAAGTTATGGGAGCACATCTACCATTTTATAAACAAAACATGTTTAGTGCAAAAAAATTGTTTTGGTTTAATTAAAAAATAGTTTTAGCACTTTAAAAAAGTTGCTCTAATAAAATAAAAGGTAAAACTAAAAGTCATATTTTTAAAACTACATCTTTTTAAAAACTTTAAAAAAATAAATATTTAACACATTTGCTAAAAAGTCTAAAAAAATTCAATCATTAAGTAATTTTACCCATACACTCCACTCTACATGAGGTTCTTTTGTGTGTTCAAAAATAGGTTCTCCTTTCCAAAGCCAGTCTTTAGTCTGAATGCTATAAATTTTTTCAAATTTGTTCCAAGCCGCAGCTTTTGAAGTAAAAGCATTAGTGGCTTGAATTGAAGCATATTTGAACCCTGCACGTTTTACTAATGGTAGAAGACAATTGATTAATTCATTTGACAGTTTTTTCCCTCTATAATCGGGATGAACTCCAAGAAACCACAAATCAGCTGTTTTTCCAGGCTCTGCTAATTCTGGCATTAAACCCAAAGCTTGTTTGTCTGCATACCATTGAAAATTCATCCAAGGAGTTAAAGACTTTTCATCGCTGTTGTATTTTTCCTCAAATCCACTTGGCACAAACATATTATCTCTTACTATATAAACTGCAGCAATTCGGTTTGCATCGTCATCAATAGCAACAACACTAATTCCATTAGTGCAACCGTAGTCTATTAAGTAACCAACAAACTCTAACCAGTCTGAAAAACTAGCTGCCAGATTAGGATGAAACTCTGCAACATCAGCGCATGCAGGTTCCGTACAGAATGCTTCTGCCAAAACCTTTAAAGCTTCTTCTTTGTGATGCAACTCAAGTACTTTAATAGAAATATTGTCTTTTTTTAACAATAGAGAGGATTCAGCAGGCATTATAGCAACTATTTATGATTTTTTTATATTTGAATGAATTTGCTATCAGAACTCAGATATTTCAAATGTAACTTAAGATAACAATATAAAATAAGAATGAGTTTTTAAAAATAACAATCAAAACAAATAAAACGTTTTTGATTGGTAAATTAAATATTTTTTTATTAGTTTTTATGCTTATAAGTTTAAAGTAAATAAATCGCTTTATTTAATGTTTTAAATGCATTTCGATCATTTTTTTTATTTAGTTTTTATAATAAATTAGATAGTTAAAAGTATTAGTAAGTTATGATAAGAATTAAAATATTTATAATGATAAATAATTGTATTAGCATAATTAGCATAATTAATTTTTATTTAAATCTTAAGCTGATTTAAAGAAAAAAATTTAAAAAAGTCTTGACTTAGATGTTCAAAAAGTATCAAATATTTAAACATCTTTGGTATCACACCTGCCTAGTACTTCGTGCTCCACGTTTCCTAATGTATTGAAGCAAATTCATTGAATTGCAGAAGAATAAACTTTAATGAGCTCGAAAGTAGTTATTTAAAAGAAAAATATTGTCGAAGAACAATTAAAAGAATCAAGATTCTTTAGACTTTAAATAAAAAATATAAACGGGTTTTAACAGTGGAATAGGCAGAATTGTTTTTTTTATTTTCCTACAAAATAATAAGTTGTGAACTTTTTACAACAAAGTAGTCATTAACTGTTTTAATATGCTTTTAACTTCCAAATATTTATTTAGAATAAACTGATTTTTATTAGTAGTTATTAAGCAAACATTAAAAATAATATTTGTATCAGTGTATGGTGGTCACTTATTCTAGCCATACTTTCTATAGCACTATCAACAGATACTTATATATCTCTGTGAATGTTCAATAATGTGAAACCGTTAGTTTAAACTTTAGTTATTGTATTCGTCGATACGTTTTCCGCTACAGCTACTAGTGAAAGACTTGAAACCGTTTTTTTCACTATTCACATTAGAACAGCAGTTTTCAACCTATGGGTCGCGACCTCAACGGGGGTTGCCATTAGACCTCCTGAAAATATTTTAATTACTCTGGTCATTTGTTTCTTTTCATTATTTTAAATTTAAGCGATACTCCTACTCTGACTAAAGTGTTCTTAATTACTAAAGTAATTTTATAACCTCAACTTTAAAGATAATAGCTTCGATTGTGCGACTCTAATTGTATAATGCACATATAAAATATCGTATAGTTTACAATATTTCAGGTGTGCATTGTCCAATGAACTTTATACATTTAGGAGTCACACACAATCAAAACTTTAAAGCCGAAGCTTTAAAACACAGTCGGAACACTATTCAAAGCAATTGTGTTATAAAGCTCAGGAAGTTTAAAGTTTAGGCGTTAAAAAATGCTTAAACATTTTATTCTAATCCAAATATTAAACAAAACATATTAAAAAAATTGTTTTGTAGAAAAAATAATTATAAACCCATTAAAAAATATTTGTAACAAACAACATGGTGTCTATAAATAAAATAAGATATTTAGAATTCAAAAAACATAGTAGTTAGCTGCAAAAATGCAGCGATTTAGGAACAATTTAATAATTTTACTGTTGGGGTTACCACTCTTGGCAAACAATATCAAGGAATTTAGGCATCAGAAAGAAAAAAAAAAACTCTGTTTGGGAATGAATCTGTTTAAATGCAGAGACTTCCGGAATGGCAGACGCTTTTTATAACGAATTTTATAAATTAAAAAAAAAAAAAAAAAATGATAAAGAAAAAAGAATAACATAAGAAGAATATATAAAATAAAAATATAGAGAATGAAGAAAAGAAAGAAAAAAAGAAAAGAAAAAACTAAAAAAAACTAATTAAAAAACAAATCAAACAAATTAAAAAAAGAAAAAAGAAACGAGTAAAGAAAAAGGAAAGACAAAAAACCAGAGTTAAAAGAAAAAAAACATTCGAAAATGGAAAGGAATTAAAATAAAATATAAAAATTGCTCCATTTTTGAAAAAAGAAAAAATAATATTTTTTAAATTTTTTTATTTTTGAGCGACGATATGTGTTTGCGTGATATGATCAGGGCCGGCGCGAGTAGGTGTCACGTGGGGGGGGGGGGGGGGGTGCCACTCGTTTTCCAAAATTTGCCGACTGTCATTACGACATTTGCCGACTGTCTAACCTATATCAAAAGGGTCGACATTTGCCGACTAACTAGTCTAAAAAGGTCTGATTTGCCGACTAAGGGTCCAGTTTGCCGACTAAAAATCATTGATGGGGGGGTGTCACACCCCCCACACCCCCTATCGCGCCGGCCTTGGATATGATTCACTTTTTTATTTTAATATTGTTATTTATTATGAAAACTCTATACTTTTCGTGACTAAATGATTGTATGTGTGTGACACGTTTTTATTTGTGAGTATTATTGAATAATTTTTGTTTTGTTTATTTATTGTTACTTTTTAATAAAGTATTTATTTATTTATTGTTTTTATTATGATTATTGATATTAAGATTCAGAGCTGGAGACTCGAGTCAACCGACTCGAACTCGAGTCCGACTTAAGTCACATACTCGACTCGAGACTCGACTTGGGTTTTACTCTGAGACTTGCGACTTGACTCGAGACTTGCTAATTTCGGCTTAGCGACTTTAAAATTATTATTTTCCGTCTCTTCAAAAATGGAGCAATTTATCTTCTATTTTAATTCAACAGTTTTTTAACTATTATTTATTTTTGAATGATTTTATTTTAACTTACGTTTAACTGGTTTGTAGTCTAAGCGAGATCCGAAAAAAAATATTGCATTTAGGCTCTTTCGTTTTCAAAAAATTCCAACTTTTTTGTGTGCGTTCTGATTGGTTTATTTTTTCATTAACTCATGAAATTTATTGATTGTATATGTTCGGTGATTTTAATTTCTTATTTCATTTTTTTTTTAATTCTTTCTTTTTCTTTCCTTAACAATCTTATTTTTCTCTTATTTATTTTTACTTTCAAAATTATCTTTTATTATTATTATTTTTTCATATAATTTATTTATAAAATTCATTTAAAAAAGTGTCCGCCATTCCGGAAGTCTTTGCACTGCTGTTCTAAATTTAAGTATTTAATTGTGTTTGCTACTAATTTCGGTGATTTGTAAAGTTTCATAAGTTATCTTAAAACTATGAGTGCTATAAAAATTCAAAAAACGCCTGCAGTACCTGGAATAATTCATTTTGGTTATACTGAGTTAGAGAAAAAAAAAGAAAAAACTAGATCGGCACGATGTAAATTTTGTCAAGCTTTAATTACCGATGGAGTTGCGACTACAAGCAACTTCATTCGCCATTTAAAAACACATCCAGGAAAATATGAATTATATCAAAAGTTTATTTAGACAAGACCAACGGCTGCTTCACCAGACCAATCTAAGATTTCAGACTTTCGAGCAGGTTATTTACTTATACTAATTTGTTTTTATTTTATTAGATATTTAAAATATATTAAACCCTAGAGTCCGTTCTATGTCTACCTCTAGTAGACAAGTAGTCTACTAGAGGTCTGACATTCCATAACAGTTCTTATAGTTCTTATTAGCTTGTACGGCAATACGTTGCAGTGTCGCACTACATCTTACCACTTAACCCAAAGCTTTTAAATAAAGCTTTAAACTTAGCGTATAAAGCATGGCGTTAAGGATTATTACTTTATAGAATGAGAATGATATTGCATTTATTATTTGTAGTTGCTTTGTGAGAGAGTTCTATGACAACATACGGCCGCACCCATTCCAAGCAACGAAGAATTTTGGCAGCCGTTGTGAAACATCTAGTAGTTGGTGCATCACTACCTGTGTCTATAGTAGAAAGTGAACATTTTAGGCAATACAATAACGTTCTTGATCCTCAGTGCTCAACTATTAGCCGTTTTCCCGTAAAAACCTATTTAGAGAAAACGTATACGGACGCAAAGGAAAAATTAACTGAAAATTTATGTCAAGCTGCAAGCATTTTCCTAACACTTGATATTTGGTCAGATAGAAAAATGAGGGGTTACCTTGGTGTAACAGCGCATTACATACATAACTATCACTGTCACACACGACTGTTGGCATGCGCTAGGTTCTTAGGTGCTCACACTGGTGATAACATAGCAGAACATTTTGAATCCATTTGTAAAACATAAAAAAATTTTGACAAAGTTGTGTATGTTGTGACGAACAATGCCACAAACATGCGCAAAGCATTTACTACAAATTTTCCAGAAGACCCCCAAGGTGGCGGTGATACATCTGCAGAGAAACTTGCAGAGGACTAGAAAATGAAGACCTGTGGGAAGACATTATTACACCGGACAAAATAATCCAAAATATCAATCAGCTTAACCCAAGAAGAGAGGTTACAAGACTAAGCTGTTTTGCTCACACCCTACAATTAGTTGTTGGCGATGGTCTTAAAGAGGCAAAAATTTACTCCGCTCAAGCTAAAGCATCCAAAATATGAACTTTGATTCGTACTAGTACAACATTTAAAGAGGGTTTTGATAAAAAGTCTGGCTCCAAACAGGGTATTCCTCGAGTAAACGCAACAAGATGGAATTCCACATTCCGTCACATAAAAAGCGTTGTCAATTTAGATGAAAAGAAATTGAAAAACCTGCTTGATGATTTAAGTCACCGCAATCTAATACTAAATGAAAGAGAATAAGTGCAACTTAGAGAGCTCATTGATTTATTGCAACCATTTCTTGAAGCCACCGATATGACTATAAAAAATATAACAATTTCATTAGTAGTTCCCTCTACCGTTGGGCTATATAGTCACTTAAAACAATTTAATACAACTTATCTGTCTGGTATGAAACAGGTATTGCGAAACGGTTTTCAAAAAAGATTTTCTGGTATATTTGCAAATGTTGGCCTTATTCCATCAATAGATAAGAAACTACCATTCAATGACTTGATATATATTATTGCCACAGTTTTGGATCCCAATTTTTCTTTCTTTTGGACTGAGAAGCTATATCATGTCAATCCAGGTCAAACAGACAACTTAAAGACAAATATTATTTCAAAAATTCGTCAATTCTGCAACAAGCAGTTTAGCCATACCAATGTAGCCATGGGCGGAAAAGTCTTACCAGAAAACCTACCCTCTAAGAAGCCAAGAACTAATTCATTTTTGTACTCTTATTGTAGATCTACACCTGTCATTCAGACTGGAACTACATCACAACCACCTGTTAAAAGTTTTGATACTCAGTTTCATTGCTATGAGGAACTGGTAAATGAAGTGTTTGCATCTAATTTCAATACCCTAGACATAGATTGTCTCCAATTTTGGAAAATGCATGGGAAAAAAATTACCAATTCGGCGTAATATTGCAATTCTAAAAATTGGTTTTTTGCAATTATTGTACTACGTTAGGCCAATATTTGGCCAATGTAGTTTAGGCTTAATATTTTCCTTTAAAAATTTTATACCGTGGCCAATATTCGGCCAATGTAGTTACTGATTAGTATATACTTTAGAAACATTTGTAAAAATGGTATCGTTTGACAGAATAAAAAAAGGTTTTGTTTTCATTTTTTTTTTAAATTATAAAAAGAAGAAGCTATATTTATTAATCTTCTAAGAATCTTAAAAGCTTCCTTATAAGAAATAAAATTCAAGAGATTCTCGTGACTTGATGTTTTGTTTTTTTTAAATAATAAAATATTTGTTAACATTTAAATAATATGCTTAAAACATTTTTTACTACAATCTAAATTATTAATGTAATAATAAAGGCAATAATTAAATTATTTTTGTGTAAGATCTTAAATTTATTATTTTATTTTTATTACTCTATTGGCATTTCAAATGTTTGATTTATTTAATAATCTTTATTAAATAAATGAAACATTTCAAATGTTCGATTTATTTAATAAAGAAGACATTTTAAATGTCTTCTTTATTATGTAAATCAAAAATTTGAAATGTCACACAGTATAAGTTTTTTTTTTCATAATTTATTTATAATAGTTTAGATTATATAGCTATTATAAGATATATTATTAAAGGTATCAATAATATATATGTGGCATTGTCGATGCCATTGTCAATGCCAATGTCAACTTCAATGCCATTGAAGTTATTAAAAGCTGATATTTTACATTTTAAATATGTCTCTTTTAAATATGTCAAAAAGTCATAGTGTTAATTAACATTTTATTGTGTAATAATCAACATATCAAAGCTTGGTTGGGAAGCAAGAGCGATCCCTCTCTAATACTGACCACAGAAAAACTGGCCAGGTATTCTAGTCGATTTAACGTAACAAAACTTTTTTGTTGGATTTCAAAGTTGTTGTCACCAACTTTGAAATCTATTTGAATTCAACTGTTGAAAAAAACAACAGAGTATTCATATCAATTTAAAGTTTTAACAGTTGCTGGTGGTTCATTATTATTCATTATATAAACGTTTATTTAAATTTATATAATAGACGAAGGTAATACAATATTTTTATAGATTATTATAGATTATTATTTTTAAAAACTGTATTATCAAAATTCAGAATAAAAATATGTAAAAAAAATTATTTACAAACATTGGACAACTTTATATTTCAAATAACCACCCTTTTTATAAAAGTGAGGTTATTTGAAAAGAATATTTTTTTTAGAAAAAGATAAAATTATAAGATAGAATTAAATTTTTTTTTGGATAAAAGAAACAATTTTTAGATAAAATAAAAATAAAGTTTTTTACAGGAGAAATGTTTTCCATTCTCTTGTAAAATTTTAATTTTGTGACTTGTCACATTTTCAAAATACAGCACTCAATTAAGCTATTGTGTTTTTTTTGGTGTTACCCATTTAATTTTTCTGAAACTTATGTTTTTCTAAGTGTTCGTTTTTAGTCATCCTTAATAATAATATCCATACTAACATGCATAATAAGCTCCATACTAATATCCAACTTAACTAATAGCTAAGTTTTAAAAGTTTTGTCATTGAAAGCATGTACAATCTTAGCATTTCCATTACAGTAGATAGTAATTTTAAACATTTTGTAAAAATGATTGTTAAAAATGGTCAGGGAAATTCATCTGATTTTTCAAAAAAGTCATTGATTTTTATATAAATTGTTGGCTACGAACCCTGTTGGAGAAACATTGTTTTAATATGAATTTTTTTGTTGTACAGTGCAATCTGTATTTTATAAGAAACACAAAACAATTCTTGTTAATGTGTAAGCTTAAACATTAACGAAAATTGTTTTGTGTCAGTGCCAGAAATTAAATGCACACCTGCAAATTTCATAATTTATAAAAATAGTATGAATCCATTAGCAAGTATATATTTTTATCATTAAAAATTTGACTCTCTTTCTTTAATTTTATCTGTTTTATTAGTGATTGTTGTATTTACTTTCATAAATTCTTAATATAATATGTAATTAGTTCTATAGTTTCTTAATAATATAATGAAATTTAATGTTCAAGATAAAGTTGTATCCTTAAAAGATATGCTAGTATTATTGGCACAATGGGCAAGCATTGAAGTGCAACTTAGTAAAATAAAAAACACATCAAATTCAGTTATAAAAATTTGAGTAACAAAGATAATATTTTTTTATGATCTGTTTAGGCATTTTGTATGATATCTTAGTACAACTTAAATACTTTAAATAAAGTACTCTTAAAAGATTTTTTTGTAAATGACATTTTATATTAATTTAAGTCTAAACAAAAGTTACTTTAATTATTGCCAGGTTGTGTATTTTTGCAGGTGAATTATTCGGCACAATTTGGAGTTAAAGACAAAGGAGATTGTATATGTTATTTACTAAGAATTGTTTTTTAAAATGGCATAGCTGTAAAATTAAAATATGCAGGGAGAAGACAAAAAATTGGAATAGGAAAAATGTTGATTGCATATGTTGCTATTGGTAAGTGGTTTAGAAAAGTTTATTTTTTCAGTCTCAATTTTGCATTACAGAAATAATTTCAAATTGTTATGTTTCTTTGGTGCATAATTAAACAAAAAACTATTTTTTTTGTAGAAACTGTGAAGTCAAATAAGCATGGCTTATGCAGACATGTGATAGAGATAGTGGAAGAAAAAATAATAATAGTGGGTACCAAATATCATAAGCTAAACACGATTCAATAACAAGTAGCTCAGCCAATATCGAAACTACTCTATAAATTTTATAGTGAATTTTTTTATTTGAAACTCACTGTGTCAGTTTTTGGATTAAGTTTGGTGTTTGCAATGTGTATATTTAACCAAGAAATTATGTTAAATAAATAAATTTTTATACTTGTATCATACATTCTTTTTTTTCTCTATAAATTTTTAATGTAGCGATGCAAATCATCTTATTTGTAACAACGATCTAATGTTGCATAAAACGTTAGGCCGATATACGATATTGGGCCAATGTTGTATACAACGTTAGGCCAATTTTGTATACAACGTTGGGCTAATGTTGTATACAACGTTGGGCCAATGTTGTATACAACGTTGGGCCAATGTTGTATACAACCTTGGGCCAATGTTGTATACAACATTGGCCTAACGTTTTATACAACGTTGGACCAATGTTGGGTAAACGTTGTATACAACATTGGGCCAATGTTGTACACAACGTTGGGCCAATACCTAACCAATGATCAAACCTGCATTGGGCCAACATTGATTTTCAACGTTGGGCCAATGCATCATCATGCATTGGCCCAACGTTGGTCCAATGTAAGCTTGCTGTCTGGGAAGATTATAAATAGAATGTTTTTTTATTTTCTCTATGTTTCTTTCTTTCCTTATTTTTCCTTTTTTTTTTAAATAGAGGAAAATTTAATTTGAGTTTTCTGGTAAAAATATATTATCTAAGTAAAAAAGTTCTTCTAACCTTACGCTTATAGTGTCGGAAACAAACAATTTTGAATCACTAACCTTCAATTTTTCAGAAGTTAACAATTTTTTGTCGGACAAAAAGTAGACCCAGACATAAATTATTTTCATGATTTAATTACTGATTGCTCTATAATTACCCAAACAGCAGGCTTACATTGGCCCAACGTAAGTTTTAACATTGGCAAGTTTATTTCGTTGGGCAAATATTTAGCCAATGTTTTTTTTCGGCGTATTATTTTCAATTCTGAAAATCAGTTTTTTGCAAATATCGTACTATATTGGGCCAACATTTAACCAATGTTGTTTTTTCGGCGTAAAATTGCAATTCCACAAATCGGTTTTTTGCAATTATCGTACTACGTTGGGCCAACATTTGGCCAATGTAGTTTAGGCTTAATATTTTGCTTTAAAAAGCTGTTCTTACATTTATATCGTAGCCAATATTCGGCCAATGTAGTTGCGGATTAGTATATATTTTTTATTTGTTGCAAAACATTTTTAAAAATGGTATCGTTTGACAGAATAAAAAAAAGGTTTTGATATTATCTTTCCATTTTTTTAAATTATAAAAATAAAAAAAAGAAGCTATATTTGTGAATCTTCTAAGAATCTTATAAGGTTTCTTATGAGAAATAAACTTCAAGAGATTCTTGTGACTTAATGTTTTGTTTTTTTTAAATAATGAAATATTTGTTAAATAATATGCTTAAAACATTTTTTACTACAATCTAAATTATTTATGTAATAATAAAAGCAATAATTAAATTGTTTTTGTGTAAGATCTTAAAGTTATTTTTTTTATTTTTATTGCTGTATGGGCATTTCAAATGTTCGATTTATTTGATAAAGAAGACATTTTAAATGTCTTCTTTATTAAATAAATCAAACATTTGAAATGTCATACAGTATAACTTTTTTTTTCATAATTTATTTATAATAGTTTAGATTATATAGCTATTATAAGATATATTATTAAAGGTATCAATAATATATATGTGGCATTGATGTTGTTAGAAGCTGATATTTTACATTTTAAATGTCTCTTTTGTTTCATTTTTTTTTAGTTTGATTGTGAAGCCCCATCTACTAACATATTAAAACAGTGTGCAAAAAGTGATGTTACTAGAATTTATATTCTACTTATGTAGAACTTTCTAATATTTCATCTTTCTTAGGTAGAGGGACATTATTCTTGGTTTTATTATTTTTTAATTTAATATCTCTGGATATTTTTCATATTTAGTTTGTGTACAGCAGTTAACAACTTTAAGCTTTAACAACATTAACTTTAGTTATAACTTAATTATTAATGATTTGATTTATAGATTTTTAAAGCAATACAAGATTGAATTTAGCAGAATGCTAAACTTTTGCTCTGGAGACAAAAAAGGAAGACAGCAAAAATGACCAGCCAAAATAAAGAATAAAGAGACAAAAAAATGTGTATATCTTGGTCTAGATGATTTATCCTCAATTTCTTATAATGAAACAAAAAATATTATAAAACTTTGGGATTTACCTGTGACTCCAAACTCTTTACAGAAGTTCAATGTTTTCTCTGAGAAGTTGAATGAACAAAATTTATTAAATGGTAAGTTTTTATATAAAAGTCTTTATGCCTGATGATTGAAAATCTATTTTCATAGCTTTAACTTTTACAATTTAAAAGACTTTTTTATATATTATGGTCAAAAGGTCAGAGTGTTAATTAACATATTAAAGCTTATACCACAGGCTTGGTCTCTAATACTGACCATGGAAATTATATTTAGTTGCGAAAAACTGGCCAGGTTTTTTAGTCGTTTTGAGAACAATTAAGTTTATGAACATAACAAAAATTTTTTGTTGGATTTTTAAAGTTCGTGTCACCAACTTTAAAATCAACTATTGAAAAAAAACAACAGTATTCATATCAGTTTAAAGTTTTAATAGTTGCTGGTAGTTCATTATTATTCATTATATAAACGTTTATTTAAATTTATCTAATAGACAATGGTAAAACAATATTTTTATAGATGATATTATTTTTAAAAATTTTATTAATAAAGTTCAGAACTAAAATATGTAAAAAAAATTATTTACAAACATTGGACAAGGTCAGTACTGTACCTTGAAAATCTGGAAAATTTGTTAATATTGGCTAAAGTTGTGGAAAACCTGGAAAAGTCAGGGAATGATTTCTTTAGATAGTCATGAAAAAATCAGTAATTCTATTTAAAAAGCTACTCGTTTCACAATTGAATGCTGTATTTTGAAAGCGTGATAAGTCACACTTTTTTTAAAAGTGAGGTTATTTGAAAAGAATATTTTTTTTAGGAAAAGATAAAATTATAAGATAAAATAAAGATTTTTTTAGAAAAAATAAAAAAATTTTTTAGATGAAAGAAACAATTTTTAGATAAACTAAAAATACATTTTTTTACAGGAGAAATGTTTTTCATTCTCTTGTAAAATTTTAATTTTGTGACTTGTCACATTTTCAAAATACTCAATTAAGCTATGTTTTTTTTGGTGCAACCCATTTATATTCTCTGAAACCTATATTTTTTTCTTAGTGTTCATTCTTAGTCATCCTTAATAATAAGATCCATACTAACATGTGTAGTAAGCTTTATACTAATATACAACTTAACTAATAGCTAAGTTTTATAAGTTTTGTCATTCAAAGCATATACAATCTTAGCATTTACATTACAGAAGATAGTAATTTTAAACATTTTGTAAAAACCGTTGTTAAAAATGGTCAGGGAAATTCATCTGATTTTTCAAAAAAGTCATTGAATTTTATATAAATAGTTGGCTACGAATCGTGTTGAAGAAACATTGTTTTAATTTGAATTTTTTTGAATTTTTACAGTGCAATCTGTATCTTAAACATTAACGAGAATTGTTTTGTGTCAGTGCCAGAAATTGAATACACACCTGCAAATTTCGTAATTCATAAAAATATTATGAATCCATTAGCAAGTATATATTTTTATCATTAAAAATTAGCCCCTTCGTCCTTAATTTTATCTGTTTTATTAGTGATTGTTGTATTTACTTTCATAAATTCTAAAAATAATAGGTAATTAGTTGTACAGTTTCATAATAATATAATTAACTTTATTGTTTCAAGATAAAGTTGTATCCTTGAAAGATATGCTGGTATTATTGGCACAATGGGCAAGCGTTAAAGTGCAACTTGGTGAACTACAAAACACATCAAATTCAGTTATAAAAATTTGAGTAACAAAGGTATGCTAATTATTGTATTGCCTAAAAGAGTGTCATTGCCATTAAAAGCAGTAAAGAATTCAAGTACTCTCGAAAAAAAAGACAAGAAAATACTTAAGTAAATAGTAAATATTTTTTTATGATCTGTTTATGCATTTTGTATGATATCTCAGTACAATTTATATACTTTAAATAAAATACTTTTTGAAGACTTTTTGTAAATGACATTTTATATTAATTTAAGTCTAAACAAAAGTTACTTTAATTATTGCCAGGTTGTGTATTTTTTCAGGTCAATTATTTGTCACAAGTTGGAGTTAAAGACGAAGGAGATTGTATATGTTATTTACTAATAAAATGGCCTAGCTGTAAAATTAAACTGTGCCGGGAGAGGACAAAAAATTGGAATAGGAAAAATGTTGATTGCATATGTTGCTATTGGTAAGTAGTTTAAAAAAGTTTATTTTTTCAGTTTCATTTTTGCATTACAGAATTAATTTCAATTTGTTATGTTTCTTTGGTGCATAATTAAACAAACATCAATTTTTTTTTTGCAGAAACTGTGAAGTTAAATAAGCATGGCTTATGCAGACATGTGATAGAGATAGAGGAAGAAAAAATAATAATCGTGGGCATTAAATATCATAAGCTAAACACGATTCAATAACAAGTAGCTCAGCCAATATCGAAACTACTCTATAAATTTTATAGTGAATTTTTTATTTAAAACTCAGTGTTTTAAGTTTGGTGTTTGCAATATGTATATTTAACTGAGAAGTTATGTTAAATAAATAAATGTTTATACTTGTATCATACATTTTTCTTTTTTTTCACTATAAATTTTCAATGTGGCTATGCAAATCATCTTATTTGTAACAACGATCTAATGTTGCATAAAACGTTAGGCCAATATCTTGTTGTATGCAACATAGGTCCAATATAAACGTTAGGCCAATATATTGTTGTATACAGTATTGGTCCAATGTTGTATACAACATTAGGCCAATGTTGTATACAACATTGGGCTAATGTTGTATACAACATTGGCCTAACGTTATAAACAACGTTGGGCCAATGTTGGATAAACGTTGTATACAACATTGGGCCAATGTTACAACATTGGGCCAATGTTGTACACAACGTTGGGCCAATACCTAACCAATGATCAAACCTGCATTGGGCCAACATCGACTTTTAACGTTGGGCCAATGCATCATCATGCATTGGCCCAACGTTGGTCCAATGTAAGCTTGCTGTCTGGGTATCCTAGCGAATTAGAAGAGATTTTTTTAAAGATAGTTATTGACAAAAATTATGATCAGATAAGAATCCTCCACATTAATAGAAGAAGCCTAAGCAAGCCGACCTTCCTCTCGGCGGCCCTAAGCCTAAGTCGTAATTTTGATAAGTTTCTAATCTTATAGAAGAAACTAAAAATCTTTTTAATATTATTTATTTAACTAAAAGTTGGAACTCAAACAATTTTTGCTTACTCAATTTTTCATCTTTCTCATTTTGAATTAATCTCTTTAGAAAGACAAAATAATAAACGTGGTGGTGTTCTTATCTACGTAAATGAAAATATCTCACATTGTGTTAGGAATGATTTAAGCGTTTTGACCGCCTGGTGGGGTAAGCGAAAACTTGAGCATTTTTTTTCAACAAAATCTATTTAAGAAAGAAGTTAAAGGGAAAAAAAAAAAGAATTTTTTTTTATCGGAGACTTAAATATGAATTGTTTTCTTTATAACAACGACTTCCAAAATAAAAATTTCTACAATTTGAAGGTGGAGCTATACCCCTGATTAATCGCCCGACTAGAGAGACAACAAACTCAGCGAATCTGCTAGATAACATCATCACAATGATATCCAAAAAGGATATATCATTGTGAAATAATATCCTATTTGGATATCATCACAATGATATCCAAAAAGGCATTATTAAAAGGGATATATCTGACCTTTTCCCAGTTTTCCTAACAATCCAGTCAAACACTGAAAAAATGTTAAAGAAAACAAAAAAAAATAAAAAAAAACATATTTTTGACCACACCAATGTAGAACAATTTAAAGAACAATTATCATTATTGCATTGGAAACACAGCAATAATTCAAACTTCATTTACGAAAACTTTTTTAAAACATTTTATTCTATTTATGCCTACTTTCTAATTTGTGAAAGAATTATTAATCCAAAAAACTTAAATTATCTTTGAATTACTAAGGGATTTAATAAAATCATCAAAAATAAAACAAAAGTTATACATTAAATATTTAAAAACAAAATCACCCGAGACTGAAAAATTATGAAAAGATTAAAAAGACTTGTTTGAAGAAGTCCGAAAAAAGTTTAAAAAAAATAAATTTACTACTCAAAACTTCTTTCCAGTGACTTCTTTTATCATTGGGAAATAATAAAAGAAATATATAATATAATATATAATAGCGCCGTACACTTAAAGAGTGATGAGTCCAAACTACGTAGAGTTTGTAACTTTAACAGCTGTAACACACTAACATACAAACATAATAAAAATTAGTATTTAAAATGTTCATCCAATTTCAGTGACAGAAGTCACTGGAAAACAAAAACCATACTTAAATTCGTTACCTTTAAATACATGATTGAAAACAATTTGTCTATTGTATTGATATATGACAAAATAATTTCTTAGATATACCCTGTGGTGCTCCTTAAGGTTCTATTTTAGGACCACTTTTGTTTCTGGTTTTACATAAATGACTTATATAAAGCCTGAAAAATTATAAGTATCATGTTTGCAGATGATACCAACCTATTTCTCTCTAATAATGGTGTTTATCAACTCTACTTACCTATGAATATCGAACTACAAAAAATTTAAATTGGTTCAAATCAAATAAATTAACCCTTAATATAAACAAAACAAAATGGGTTCTTTTTTACCCATTCGCCAAAAAAATGTTCTTTACCCACAAATCTGCCACAAATATATATTGATCAAGTTGAAATAAAAAGAGATTTAGTTATAAAATTCTTAGGTGTATTCCTTGAAGAGAACATCACATGGAAATAACATATTAATTCTATTTGTGCCAAAGTTTCCAAAAGTATGGGAATCTTATATAAAGCCAGAATAAATTTAAATAAAAAAATTTTAACGCAACTTTTTTACTTAATTATTCACATTTATACAAATTATGCAAATACTGTATGGGGAAGCACAAGCAAAAGTAAGTTACAACATCTTTACTGCCGTCAGAAACACGCTACTACTTAATTAAATTTGCAGATCGGTTTTCTAGATTATAATTTATAGAAATGAGAATACTCAATATATATGAACAAAATGTATTTAATGCTTACGTTTTATTTAAATGTGGAAAAACGATTTATATCCATTAGATCTATTTATTTTATTAAAGATCTATTTACTTTGAAGCCCATAAACAAATGCAACTTAAGAAATAATAATTTTGTAAATGAACTATTTCGTAACACAAGATTCAATCAATTTTGTATTTCATATCGTGCACCATATCTCTGGAATAGAACTGTTTTACCTCATTTTGATTTATCTTTTCCTGTTTTTCTTTAGTTTTGCTAAACTTATACTGTTTTCAAGAACAAATTAAAAAACTTCATTCTCTCGATTGAAAATATTTTGATTGCAACTAACTATAGTCATATAATATATAATGAAAGATTAAAAATCTTTTGTCAGTTGTTTTTAGACTTCATTTAGACTTTTAATTTATTAAAGCGTGTACACGAAATAAATGTGAAAGTAGAGAAACAACTAAAAAAAAGTACTCTTCAGTTTTTATTTCCAACCAAGTAATAACTTTAATACAATAATACAAGAAGATCAAATATTAAAAAAATCAAATTATTCCTGTGGGAATCTAATAAAATTTCGAACTTTTGCTTTGGTGATACCCATAAGCTTGTGCACAGAATAAGAATTGAAGCCACTTGATGCTTTTGTAAATGATATTTTAATATCTTTAATATTTCTGCAAAGTCTTTTTGTTTTTTTCATTTTTCTTTTAATAATGGTCCAGTACTTTTCAATAACTCTTAATTCTGGGCAGTTTGGAGGATTTTCTGTTTTAGGCACAAATTTCACATTGTTATTTTTATACCATTCCAAATCTAGTTTACAATAATGAATTGAAGCTAAATCTGGCTAGAACACAGGTCTCTTATCGTGTGATTTGATGAGAGGTAAAAGGCGTTTTTGTAAACGCTCTTTAACATATATTTGACCCGAAAATGTGGACTGAGAAATATAAGATACTAATTTTTTTGCCACAACTGTTAGTAGCTTGCTAAATCAAGTTTTTTTTAGCAGACTTGTCATGTTTTATGTATTTAAATTTTTTATCTGGCTTTCCTCTACATTTGGCAATATAATAGATGGTACCAGGAATTTGCTGATGATCGCACTTGATATAAGTTTAATTGTCTTCAATAATACATTTAGAAATAAAATTGTCATACAACTTTCTGCAGCGGGTTTTTGCACTTTTTTTGTTAAGTTTCAGATCGGTTGGGCATTTTTTTAAATTTATTTACACTTTTGCCGATAAAAAAAAATTTACAGTCGTAACTTATAAAAAAAATAATTACATGACCGGGGCTAGAAGAAGACAAATTTAGTCTTATCATTAAGCCCCATTAATTTATTATTTATCATCATTTTAATCAGATTAATATCATTAAGTTTTTGTGCTGTGAAAGAATGAAAATCATGTATATCTTGAACTTTTACAACAAAATTATGAAAAAGCCCATAAATGTTTGCGCGCTCCCTTAGTGAAAGGCTTGGGTTATTCTTATTGACTAACCCAAGCCTTTTACTTAGCTACGATTGGGATTTTCCAAATATTTGTGCACAATTTTTTCTCTTATGTCTTCTTCTTTTGTCATTTTTAAAACTAATTTTAAGTTAAATCAAGAAATTAATACATTTTTTTGAAACCACAACACATTGTAAACAAAATACAAAACAATTAAAAAGATTTCAATATAACCACTGAAAAAAAATGACGTACTTATTCTTTCACATTTATTTCGTGTACACGCTTTAGTCTACGAATTTACATATTGTAAAAGTTTTTATTATGCAATACGAACATAAAATAAAATAATTTTTTTTTAAATCCTATTAAAACATGCTCATTTACAGTTAGGGGTCATTCATAAAGTACATACGCTTTTTTTCCGTCCAACCTCCCCCCCCCCCCCCACATTTTGCAATACGCTTTTTTGAGTATCCTCCACCTCCCTAAAAGTACCTAAGTTTTTAACCTATTACCTATTATATGACCTAACATTTTATGATATTTTAAAAAATTTAGTTTCTCCAACAAAACATCACATAAAAACAATTAACATTTTGTAAAACAGATTTTTTATCAAAAAATAATAACTTTTATGCATTAAAATTAAATATGATAACTCTTTAATAAAATGCACAATAATTAGAATATTTATTACAATTTTGCTACTTTTAAGACCCAGGTTATCATTAATTTAAAGTTTTTTGTTGTTGATAATACTAGGAACTCATCAAATGTTTTAAGATCATAGAAAACCCCTGATAAAAATTTGTATATGCTAATACATGAAAATTGTTTGCAAGCTGTTTTTAAGTAAGGTCATCAAATATACAAACTAAAGTGTCACAGATGTGATCGACTGCCTGTCAACGCATTCTTTTGCTTTGTTTTTGAAAAATTATATTTGATTTATAAAAGCCTTTAAAAGAATTAAAGGATGTTTTATCTTTTACCTTAAAAAAAAATTGGATCGCAGATTAAAAATGATATTAAGTAAAGACTAAAATTGGTATAAATTAGAAATAATACGCAGAATACACGCAAAGTCAACATTCGCAGATAAAAGCTTGATTAGATGAATGAAAAAATTATTTACACCTATTTCTTTTCTAATCTACATATTGGATTTGAATGCACTACATCTAAGTTTAATTTATGACCAATCAAATCTCGTATATTTTTTATTCCATATTTGATCATAGTTGGCCTAAAAAAAAAGCAATACATGTATTAGAACATAAAATATATAAAAATAAAGACATTTTGATGTTAATATAGGCATTATGAAATTTATACAACCTATGGAACATAAACGACTTTTTAGCAAAAAAATTAACTTAAAATGTAATTCAATAACTTTTATTATCATCATTAATTTGTCACGCTCACCTTTCTAGAGACACTCCCCAAGCAATAACAGACACATTTTGTGGTAGACCCATAGGAAGTAACATTTCAGGACGGAACAAACCAGAATTGCCAATTTCAACCCATTTTTTTAGTCCTTTAAAAGTAAAAGCATATTGTTATAAAGAAGTGAAGCAACATTTCTAACATTTTTTTAAAATAATACCAAAATTTTAAAAGACCTTCATGATAGCTGAAAATTTCCATGCTTGGTTCTGTATAAGGATTATAAGCGGGTTTAAATCGTAGCTTCTCAACTCCTTTAAAGTAAAAAATTTAAAGTTAAATTCATTCCCCTTTAAAACCATACGCAAATTGTTTTAAAAATTCCTTTGGTGTTAATTAAAAACTGGATTTAATATAATTAGACAATTTTTATGACTTATGTATAAATGATATTTAGAGTTTGAACATGGCCTACTATATTACACGGTCGTGTATGTTACATTTTAGAGGCGATTCTAAGAGGCCTATTATAAAACAGGATGACTGTGCAACTATAGAGAAGACATATAATCATATCTTATCTAGACTGAATAGATAGTATAAATATATTACGAGTAGAAATATTATAAATAAAAAAGTATTCACTAACATTTTATGCTATCATACTAGTGATTTATGTATTTATAAACATATATATCTATGTATATCAGGTGATCAATGAAACTTTGTGGATTCGCTGCCCAGGCCTTTTGGATTTGTTCAAACAGTTGATCCTTATAACGAACACCTTCGCGATTAATTCTGCGGTTGACGATTTCCCACAGGTTCTTGATAGGGCTGAGATATAGCACGCCGTCTGATTGTTCGGTCCGATACAGGCAGCTAATTGCTTTTGTATCTCGACTGATGATATCCAGGTATCCTTCTTGACGGATCTGACGATTATAAAATCCTCTCTAGAAGTGGTGGAACGCGGTCTTCCACCTTTGTTATCTGCTGCTAACGTCCCCGTAGAATGATATTTGGAACAGTCTTGATATGGTCCGTTTTTTCACACGATATTTATCACAAATACTTTTTTGTGACATTCCACTTACGTAATCGCCAATAATTTTCTTTCTCAGTTCCAATCCAAGACTGTCGGGAGCCATTTTTGCACTTGATGTCATAAAAATAATAATAATAAATAATCACGCTTCTCAAGTTTTACCGTGTTACATTTACCTTGTGATGATACAATAATGCTCTGTGGAACACAACGTCTTGGTTGGATGTGGACTGTATTGATGTTATGAAACACTTGTTGTATTTCACTTCTTGTATTGATGTTCTTTGATAAAACACTTTGATAAAACTCACTTCGATAAACTGTCTTGATAATACTGACTGATTGACTTCCATATACTGACTGAATTACATGTTGGTTTACATGTCTCTTATATAGTAAAATGAACCTGTGTGAACCTGTTCTATAAGATTCTAGATGCTTCTTTTTGATGCTTCTGAATGTTTCTGGATACTTCTGGATGCTTCCAGATGCTTCTTCTGGAAACTTCTGGAAGCTTCTGCATTCTTCTAGAAACTTCTGGAAACGTCTGGATACTTCTTTTAATTATTAAAAAACTTCTGTAACGTTAACACGAACCAGACTTGAGAAAATGAAACAAACCAAAAAAGTTGCACTTGTTTTGTCCGCTGCAAAATGGCACTTGTCAACAAAATTCTGCCTGTGTGCTGTCACCTGTCAGCTGATTGCTCATGTCATGGCATGTTATGACTCCTGACTCCTGAACTGTTTGGTGTAGTAGTATAGTTCGTTTCGTTTATAAGACATGTAAAATTAGGAACACTTTTTAGCATTGTTCGATGTTGGTTGCAAATGTTTTGTCCTATACTGTGTGTATATATATATATATATATATATATATATATATATATATATATATATATATATATATATATATATATATATATATATATATATATATATATATATATATATATATATATATATATATATATATATATATGTATATATTTGTATCTATAATATATATTTTTATATATTTGTACATTACATATTTAAATTGACAACACTGAAAATTAACAAAAAGAAATGGTTAAAAAAATTTTTTTCTTTAATTTTTTTGTTATTATCTATTTATGTTTTTTTCTTCTTTTTTTTAAGTATTATTTTTCTCTGTCTACTTTTAAAACTTTTAACAGCATCTTTTCGTACAGTGGCATTGATTATCTTCTGCTTATAGTTAAAAAAGAGATTAATTATAATTTTAGAAGCAAATTTAAACCCCCATTCTTTGTGTAAATCGCAAGTAAAGCTAACTGTTGGAAAGTATTTTGATAAAACAAAGCTTGATACATCTTTGACATTAGCACCTTGTTTAGTTATTAAATTTGAAAGATTATCTAAGACTGTAAAACATCCACATGTGAAATCCTTCAGTGAAAGTAAAGGCACAGTAAGACCACCTCGTTAAAGTATTTGTAGATATTTTTTTATTTATTTTTTTTGTTAATTCACCTCCTCAAGGCCGAGAAGGCCACTACAGATGAGGAGGCTAATTATTTGTGGTTGTATAACCCTCTCTCAACTCTATAACTCTGAAACACGACGAACAAGGCCGCTGCGCGGAGAAACGAGTTGAGCGCGGTACTACCAGGGATGTGGCGGGGATTGAAAATTACTTGATGTGAAGTAAGCACATACAAATATCCTTCTTCGATAAGCTCGTCTTTAAAAATTGCTTGAGAAAGCCGAGTTGTGATAAGAGCAGATGATTTTTGTTTTGATAAAGTAAAAAAAATGCCAAAAAAAAAAATGGTTTTACCATCATCAAAAATTGCATTACCAAGTTTGTTACGACTAAATTTTTGTTTTGAATTTGAAGGGTTCCATCATTTTTGAAAAATACTTAAAAAACCAGAAATGTCATTTTGTTCTGGAAAATAACTTTTAAAACTTGCAATTACTGTTTAATGGAAAATCGACAGTGCAAGAGAAACATTTTGCTTTTTATTACTAGGGTGAAGACTTTGATATGTAATTTTTGAAGCTTTTCTCAAATTACCTTGAAGTTGTTCATTTTTAGAATGTAAAAGATGAAAATCTCCCCAAGTTATATAACCAGCTGGACAATTATAGACATCATCTTTTGTATCATAAGTAAATGATGAAAAGACAATTTTTTTGCAATGCAATAAATTATTTCTGATATTTTTAACTATCATAAAATTAGTATATTTGGACTATCAGAATGATAAATAAATAAATTTGACTGATTACCAAATTTGGGATGAAGCAAACTAAATGTATTTACATTTGCTTGATGATTGTCAGTAACAACTCCTCGAATTTTAAAACCAAATAAAGAAAGAGAACTAATAGAACCTGATATTTACCACTATAGCCATTTACCACTGATAGTAACTTCAGGTATTGCTTTTATAACATAAGGAATAGATTTCTTTAAACTAACAATCATAAATGCAACAACTCCTTTATGCAGAGTACCATTGTCATCTGCACCCACAAAGACACCACTACAATCTTGTGCCTTTTTCTGAAGATAAAATTCATCTACAATTAGTATTATATCTTCATATATTGAACCCTTCTCACAAAGTGTTTTAACAGCCTTTATTGCATCAATTCCACCTTGTTTAATTTTATTTAATAAAGAAATTGAAGGTAATGGAAATAATTTAAGTAAAATTACATGTATATTTGGATGTATATCTTAATAATAAAGCATGTCTGATCATATCTGCAGAATATAGTGGTTGACCCTTTGCTTTATAGTATATTCTACTATTTATTTCTTCAAGAAGTATACTTCTATTAGAAGAAGCTATGTTTTTTATGTACGATGCAAGATTTTCTAGCATACTCAAACTAGTTAACTTGCCATTATAACCTTTAGTTAACCATGGAGAAGTGGAATATTATTTCCTTTGTATTGCAAAGCTACACATAAACAATGATCAATTTTTATTGATTCAAGAACAGAAGGAAAATGCATTAAAGGATCAAATATTAAATTGTAATAAATAATGCAATTGAGATGTTTTTTAAATTGAAAACCTTCTGGTGAATATTTACTGTTTAACTTTATCCATTCAGTTATTTTATCATTTTCAGAAAAAAAACTAAGTTCATTGATAAATACAAGTTTTAGGTGGTCTTCTTAAAGCAATAGATGATGGTAGTGTGGAAGGCCATTTTAAGCATTTACTTGAGAAAATTTCAGAAATAGGGTTTAAATTCCTTAAAAACTTGCATTTTTATACCTTGCTTTTCACATAAGACAGAATTTGGTGGAGGCGCAATCACTATGGTTTACAAAATGAACCCAATAATTTAGCAACTATTGGTTTTTCAACAGAAAATGAAAAGAACTAACTTTTATATCTTCCAAAGAACTGTTGTATCCAGTTTTACAACCATATGCAACACACTTATTAACCACATATATGAATAAATATATATATATATATATATATATATATATATATATATATATATATATATATATATATATATATATATATATATATATATATATATATATATATATATATAAACATTCAAATGCAACATTGTTAATATTAAACGCAACAATTTTGATAATAAAAACTCAAAGATTATAAAAAAAAAATCATTTTTCTGTAAATTTACCTAACTTTTTGAAGAATTCGTATAGTATTCCTATAAGATGACCAAGACTTAAATCACGGTCAGCAATTAACCCTTCAATCTGATGAAACTCTGCAAGATGTGTTGCATCAAGAGATTCATTGCGGAAAACACGATCGATCGAAAAATATTTTGCAGGTCGAAATTTTTTCTATTAATTTAGCCATAAACACTTCTTATTAGAATACTGTTACTGATTTATTTTAAATAATCATTACTATTGTTTTATTATCATTATTACCAATAATATTATTATTAGTATTATTTTTATTGTTATTACTATCATAATTTTATTATTATCACTTATTAAATTTCAATTATTACAAAAGTAAAAAAGTTATGAAAACCTGCTGAGCAAGTTTGTAGAGCATTCTTGTACTAACAGCTGTTGTGTGTGTTCTTAAAATATTTTTTTTACTTTCATCAAGTTGCCATTTCATTTGATACCTAAAAATAAAAGTTTCTGCCTTTTTATTTGGTAGCCAAAAATAAAAATAAGTTTCCACCTTTTTATTTGGTACAAACAATCAAAGTTACAATAACTGATTCCATAGATCATCTTATAATAACTAATTTCATAAAACAAAAATGGATGGATGGATAGTTTGTTTTCAAACTTTCTGTTTGATTAAATTAGTTTGTTTTGCTATTATTTTTTTCATTTTGTTTTGTTTCATTTTGTTTTATTATAGTTACTGATTCATACATTATATGAAAAAAATATTATACCTTTCTTCTAAAAAAACCTAACCTTTATATACTAAAAAAAAATAGTTTTCCCTGACTAAAATAAAATTTATTTAAAAAAAATTAATTAAAATAAAAAAAGTTACTTTTCCCTGACTAAAATAAAATTTATTTAAAATAAAATCACACATCTTTACACAAATAATATAAGTTTTCTTAAAAACTGTTCACTTTAAATAAATAAACACTTTAAAACAAAAAAATAAAAAAATAAAGTATAAAGTAAAAAAGTAAAGCTGAAAAACCAAGTCTACACAAATGTTACTATGTTTTAATCAAGAATCATTTAGTCATATATATATCATATATAGAGAACGATAAACAGCTTATTTCAGAATAAATAACAATCAATTCCCTTTCAATATCCTTTTCTAATATGGCTTTTTTGGCCTTTAACTCTTTTATTAATTGTATGGCACACCAATTTTTGCACAGTTCCTTTTGTTTTTCTTCTTTACTTTTCTCTTGTCAGACAGAACTTGTTGGTATCAGTCATACAATAAACAGAGACATTTTTGGTGTGATATGTAAATTGCACAGTCCACCAACATCAAGGATTGCATCATAAATTTGTTGCTGGGTAACTACTAATTCTGCTGCAAGATTTTCTACTAAAACATTAGAGTTAACACTAAAAGCTTGCTCTACTTGTGTCATGAGATAAAATCATTACAATTTTTGCTATTTCAAACAATGCTGAGTACTGCGTATCTTCACTAATTAGTTCATAGTCATCTAAACCAATTAGTTCAAAGTCATCTAAACGCTGCTAAGTGAAATCAAAATTTTTAAAATTCTTCATTTTTAATGATGCCAAATTGCATAGTTGAGCATACTGGCATAGCTTGACTAACTAGGACTGATTTTTTTAGCCCAAATTTATAAAGAATCAAAACGGGACTTTGCTTTGTCAGGTGACCTGATGATAACCTCTGGCAAAAAAGACGATAAATGCCTAGTAGCCTTGTATTAAGGTGAAGAACGCTTTTTTAATTTAGTGATTACAGCATTTAAAAAGTTGATGCATTTTTCTCGAAATTTAATTTTTTGACTACTAATAATTTTGTAACTCAAAAACAACTCCAACACCAACACCACATCTCTTCAATTGCTCCACTCTTCATTATTCAGATCTATCTTCGACAAACTTTGTAATGTATCAGCATTTGTGAAAACTCCATTTTTTTTTTAAATCTTTCCATGAGGCATGACATCAGATGATATCACTCATCATATAGTAAAGGAACTAAAGGACTCGGTGCCTAAAATTGCGTTCTACTACATTGGTAACAGATTAAAAAAAAACAAACTATATTTAGCTTTGATTAGAGGATCTGTCGATAACATTCTGTGCTTCAATTAATATCGATAACATTCTGTGCTTCAATTAATGTTGATAACATTCTCTCTGCAACTGCAGCATTTTCCCCCCACCGTGTTGTACAAAATTTAGTGTTTTTTTTTTAATTTCTAGGAAAAAGCATGCATTTCAAAAAATAAACAATTTTCACAACACTAGAACATATAAGTTGCAAAAATGCCTAACAAAACCAAAGACCACAAAGAGAATAGAAAAACTGTTTGCTTTTTGTGCCTTCAGAAAGATATTGTGAGTTAACAACTTTTCTGATTGAGAAAGCAGAAAAAGTTCTTAAAGTTGAACTGGATTTTTCTAATAACAGGATTCCTTCAGGCATTTGTGAAAGATGTCGTGTTGCAAACAGAAGAAAAGATGAGGACAAAAATTCGTCTCTTCCCAGCCTTTATGATTTTAAGGGCATCTCGACCAGCTACCAGAGAACCTCCTTGTTGTTCAACCAGCTACCAGAGAACCTCCTTGTGATTGTTTGATATATCAAATTTCCAGAAATAAGCTGAACATTATTCATCCACTGTCAGCTAGTAAACCTAAGAACAAAGGAAGCATTGAAAAAAGATGTTTAGACTGTTTTTCTGTGATTGGGCGATGACTGCCCCACAATTGTACAAAAGGAACAATGAGACAAAATTTGGTTGCAGTTGCCTCAAAAGATGCAGTGGCTGTAGAGATGGTTGCAACTACGGTCATCTCAAACAAACCTCCTTCTCCTCATGGCACTCTCTGTCTTAGTCAAGCAAAGGGAGGCAACAGTTTTCCAGTTGTTCCAGGTATGATACAGTTTTAAACATAAGCATTAATCCCTTGTGTTTTAAATCATAAGCATTAATCCCTTGTGTTTAATAGCATAGTCTTTTCTTAGGGCCATCCAGGGCAAGAGAACTCTTTCCTGAGTAGAAAAAGCTAAAAGCTATAGATATGCTCAAGGTTCAAAATGAAACTGGACTTTCTAATCGTAGCATAAAAAAAACTTGCATTATCACTAAATCAAGCCACTCCTCACCAGATTGTTGAAAAAAAATTTTGTGACAAGTTTGAGTTACTTGGAAGGACACTTGAAGAACAGTTCACTTCAAACCATATTCAAGAATCAACAAAGAAAGATTTAACCAGAGTTGTTGTTCACTGCAAAGATGTGTCTGATATAGTCAACCATGTTTCAAATGTCAGAAATATTCCTGGAGAACCATTGATCAAAGTTGGAATTGATGGTGGAGGTGGCTTTTTGAAAGTATCCTTGGGAGTTATTGAAGCAAACAGAGAGGATTCTTCTCCTCCTTTAAAGCGTGTTGCAAAAGATACAGGTGTTAAGCGCCAGTTATTAATTGCTGTTTCTGAAAACCTACCAGAGAGTCATGAAAACTTGAAAAGCATTTTGAATTAGTTTCAGTTGCAGAAAATTTCTTATGTTGTTTCATGTGACATGAAAGTAGCGAATCTGATAACTGGACTTCAGTCTTATGCTAGTGCTCACTCTTATTCATGGTGTGATGCAGATTCAAAAATCTTCAAATCTGTGGGAAACCCAGAACATTTGGTTTCATTCAAGCTGACTTTGATGCATTTCAAAGGACTGGGTCAATTTTGAGAAGAGCAAAAGAGTTCAACAATGTTGTTCACAAACCAATTATTTGCTTGGACAATCACTCTTCTTGGACTTTATCCTTCCAATGGAGCTAGATCTTCTTCTTGAAGTAGTAAATCATCTCTACAAAAACTTGTTCCAAACATTGCCTGATACCAAGCAATGGCCTGCTGCTCTTCATATTCAAGAACAGCCTTTTTATGGAGGCCAATTTGCTGAAAATGATTGTCAAAGATATTGAAGCATACAGATGTTCTACAAAATCTGGCTGAACAAAGCTCTTCATTCAATGTCATGCCTTTTGTTGAAACTTTCAGATGTTTTGAAAGGGTTGTGAATTCTTGCTTAGGAAATAATCTTTCTCCCAACTTTGCAGACAAGATCAAGGAGTTCCAGAGTTCCTTCTTAAAAGTTGCCAAACACCTCCATCACTCTAAAGGTGCATGGAGTTTTTCATGTTATGCCTTTTATTGACCGCCACAAGTCAAGCATTTTCTGAACAGGCCACAGAATCTTAGCATCACAACTTCAATGTACATTGGCAACAATACAAATTTGTTACCAGTTATCCAGAATATGAAAAGAAGATTCTGAATTGTGTTGTAGACCTCAACAGCAAGTACTCATTTTTAGTTAAAAGGATCTTTTTCAAACCAAAATTAAGAATACTGTAACCTTAAAGAATTATTTCCCGATGTGATATTTTCATTCAGAAATGTTGTTTTATATACATAGGAATGTTTCTTTTGTTGTCACAACTATGAAATGACTTTTAAAAAATAATAATAAATGCTGTAAAAATGCAAAACCCCCTGTTATTTTGCAATTTTTAGACCTATTAGCTTCAAAATTTAAAATCAAAATATCTTTCTCGCATGTAATAGTTTAATTTCCAAATTTATATTATTTAATCATCCCCAAATTTATTTCTAAATATATTTTACTTAATCATCCCCCAAAAGGTTTTTCTGGGGACATGAGTTTAGGGTTGATCATGGTTTGAAAATAAAAAAGATTTCGCATAATTTATAAAAAAAAAATAATTTTTTTTTGCATATTTGCGCAAAATTATTTTTTTTGCAAAATCTTTTTTTAATTTAGCAATTATGAAAAAACTATGATACACAACAATCTAAAAATAAACTTAAGATCAATATGATCACATTAGAAAAAAAAAATTTACAAAATATTAGGATTTACCTTGCGCTCAAAGCCAAATAATTTAGGAACAATTTGGGGAATTTTTCAGGGTATTTTGTCGCTTGAGCACAAGGTAAATGTCAATATTTTTATAAATTTGTAATTGTATTTTTTTAATATTTGCCCCAAATTTGGCTTCTTGTGTATTTGGGTTTTGAAAATGTTATTTTTCTGAACACCACTAATATATATATATATATATATATATATATATATATATATATATATATATATATTTTTCAAACTTTCAAATTCAGATTTCTCAAAACAATGGTTAGTGGACGTATTCTCTTTGGGCTCTTAACCATTGATATATATATATATATATATATATATATATATATATATATATATATATATATATATATATATATATATATATCATTTCTTATTTACACAAGTTACCAAATTTAACATGGTTTTAACTAATTTATGTTGATTAATAAAATTTAAAAGTTATGTTGATTAATAAAATTTACGATGTTATGTAATTCAATTTATATTTAAAAAAAATGCTGCACTTTAACATCTTTAATTTTAAAGTTGAACAAAGTATAAATTAGATTATTTTTGGGTCTTATTAAATAACTACCAAATAATATAGCTACCAAACAAAAAAGCATTTGTTAATGAATATTTGTAATAATAATTAATAATATAAATAAAATTATTTTTTATTAATATTAGTTTATTGGTTAAACTAAATTATTATTTTTATAATTCCTAACTTATAAACCAAAACAATTTAGCAAATAAGCACTTTTTTTAAAAAAAATAACACTATAAAATAAAACAAAAATTTTGAATATATAAACAAACTAATTCTTTAGATATCTTGTTATTGGACAAACTGTTTAGAACTGTTTTAAACAGTTTGTCAAATAACCTGTGTATTCCACTAAAGAGATACTAGAAAAAAATATGAGGTTTGCTACAGGAATCATTCTAAGCTAATATTAAGAAATTTATGTTCAATAATTACACATTTTTTAAAATAGTTTCTGTAAAAAAGAACATACTTGTGATTACAACTTTTTAAAATTTTAACCCAACTTTTTAAAATTTTAAAACAAATTTTAAAAAACTTTTAATTTTAACAAGTTTTAAGAAAATTGTAAGATTTAACAGGAACAAAAATTAGCAAAGCTCCTAAGCTGTTAACTTATAAAAACTAAAAGTTGGCACTTTATACTTACATAGTTTTTTAATTTCATTATACTGTTTTTTAATTTCTTAGTTTATATGGTATTATACTGGTTAGAATTTTATTTTGTGTAGGGGAATTGGTAAGGAGTTTAGAGTTTTTTAAATCAGAGTTTACAGAGTGGCCAACAACCTGGAAAACCCAGAAAAGTCTAAACTATGCTAAAAAGTCAAGGAAAAGTCAGATAATATATCAAATTTTTCAAATGTCATGGAAAAGTCAGGGAATTTTGATGGATTCAGTAACAAAAAATATATATTTTTTTGGGTATTAGAAACTAAAAATCTTATATTTTATATGCTATATAATTATTTGTTGGTTGCAACTGCTGTTAACATTTTAGAAAGTTTTTATTTTTTTATGATTATTTTTATTGTATATTTTAATACATAACAAAAAAATTTGTTATTTTATAATGGCAGTCACACTGGAAAACATAATTTCCTCTGATCCAATACAAACTATTGAGTTTAGTTATTTTTTTGATAGTTTTAAGTTTTTGATAGTTTATAGGTTTGGGCAGACAGTGTCTTATACAAACTAACACTATTGACATGTATTTTAATTCTTACTGTCTGAATACCCATGTTATTTAAATCAAATGTTTTTCGACAAATAGAACACATTGCCTATTGAAAACTTCTTTTTTGTAATCGTATAATATTTACTTTTTTGTAATCGTATAATAATCGTTAATATTTGCCCCAAATTTGGCTTCTTGCGTATTCTCGTTTTAAATATATATATGTTAGGGGTGTTAGAAAAAAATTTAATTTTTTTGAACACCCCTAACACATATATATTTATATATTTTTCAGATTTTTTTGCAATAGTGCAATTTTAAAACAGCTTTTGATTTACTTTAAAACCAAAATAAAGTCATATAGCATGATTACAGAAACGCTTAAGGTGAAGAGGATGGATACAGAAACGCCTGAGGTGAGCAGGATGGATACAGAAAATCCTGAGGTGAGGAGGTTGGATAGAGTGACAAGAATTAAAAAAAGTAAGTTACAAAAGCAAGATAATTTGGTCTATGTTCTGCTTAAATACTGTGATACATAAACTCAAAAATTAAACATGTTTCTGAACAATTTTGCATCACTTTGGGTTAAAATAAAACAAAAAGAAAAAAAAAAAAGCAGATAATTACATTAAATTACTTACCCTTGAGATCCAAATCCACCTATTTCATGAACACTTTTAACTTTTTCTAAATAGTCTTTTGGAAATTCGTCCAATCTTGCATATTGTGGCTCTAAAAACATAATGAAACTTTAAGACTTCTTCCAATATAATTTTCCAATCTGACATATTGTAATAGGTCTTTTAACAACAGCAGTAATAAAAATGTTTATTATAATTATTTATTGCATATTTATTATTTTGAAATATTTATTAACTATGTAATAAAATTATAAAATTAAAAAAAAAAAACTAAAAGCAACACTTATGAAAAAAAATTAGAAAAAAAAGAAAAGAAAAAAACATACTTGAGAGAAAAAAAGTATCGTGAGAATCTCTTGCAGGATGTTGTTGGGGCTGAAAAAGAGCATCAAAATTCCAAAAAGAACTTTCAACAAAGTTATTTGTGGGCATCTCAGTAAAACTAAAAAAAAAAAATGCAAATATTTATGTGATACACATTTATATATATATATATATATATATATATATATATATATATATATATATATATATATATATATATATATATATATATATATATAAAACAGGCACAATTATATATGAAAGCTGAAAACTAAATTATTATATACTTAGGTTAATGCTCATTGTTGGTTTAAACCTTGCAATATAATCAGGTGGGGAAATGTTTGATAATTCATGTAAATTATTAATATATGACGTTATATATTAAACACTTTACAGGTGTGAATCTAAGGTATAGACATTGTGGCTAAGACAACACCTAAAAATAATCAACGAAATAAAAAATTATATATAACATTCCAACATATTTTTAAAGCAAAAGTAATCGCCTATAATTACGATAAGCTTATTTTTTTATCTGCTATTTAAAATTGGCTTTAAAAGCGAACAATCATAACTATAAAAACCAGATTAAAAAAAAGGAGATCGGTCATAAAACAGTATAAAATAACTTTGTGGCTAAGCCACAAACAACATGATTTTACAACATAAGCTGACTAAATTATTATTATTTTTTTTTGAAGTAATATTTTCTAGGTGTAAAGTCGTATGCCGTCAACACTTGAAGCCCATGGCTAGATTGCTTTTTGCTTTGTGGCTGTACTTATTTGCTAGTCTTTTTATGCCCAGCTTCATTCAAATAATCTAAGCACCTATATTATTTTCTTAGTAAGTTGGTAATTATGGTGGATATGTTTTGAAAGAATACTGTTCTAAATGCTATTGATACTTCTCACATTTAAAACATAAATTGTTGCAAAATAAAAGTTGTTTACAAAACAAAATGATTTTAATATCTGACCAGTTTATTTTATAGTTAAGCTTTTGGTTAGAAGATGTCCCTATGCAAATGTTTTAATACCATTTTTTAATATAGCTCAAGTTTTTGCAGCTTTAAGGTACGTTTTTTAACTATGTTTATACAAATTATATTTATTATAAAAAATAACAAGCTTTTTATAACTGTAACTATGTTTACTTAAATACAACTTACTGTTTTTGTGGTTTACTTAAATACAACTGTTTTTGTGGTATTGTTATAACATTCTTATAACAAAAAACTTTAAGTCATTTTGGTAATTGTAATTTTATTCAACAGGTTAATACTAGTAATAATAGTTTTGCCACAATGCTATATAAACAATTTCTATTTTCATTTGCTACAAATGTAAACAATTAAAATATTGCATTTTTATTTCTTCAAAAAAAATTTTTATCTTTAAATTTATGCTTTAACTAAAGAGGATCTTATAAGTTGATTTTATTGTCAGTAGAATCAACTATAATACAATATAGGAGATTCTCCTATAATAAAGAAGATTCCTCAACTACTTTATTTTGGAAATTATGCAGGTGACACTATCTTATAAGATCTTTTAATATTATCCCCTCAAAATGCCACATACATTTCTGAAACCACACAAATTTAACTTATATAGTGTTGTGTTAAAGCTTTTGAGGAGATTCTTATTTCACAAATCAATAAAAACTTTTCAATTTTAGCTAATGAAGCATCTGATAGTGCCAATCTTAAACAGATGTCTATTGTTTTTAGGTAACTATAGTAACTATAACACTTGTGAAGATTTTTTAAGGTTTGTTGACTGTCCTTAATTATTTAATGTACCCTTTGTCCAAAGTTATATGGGCATGTTTAAATAATTTTCTTTCTGTTGGTCAAGCAAAGTTAATCTGTGTCTGTTGTACTTGTTCGGTTCACAAAAAAATGTGGAAAGCAAATCTACAATTGATAGAAAATGTTTAGCCTTGATGAATAATTGACTGAAAAGAATTCCCATTCTCTTAAATTTATAAGTCGAACATTATTAATATGAGATAATAGTTTAAGTTAAAGTGATTTTTCTTTATTCAATGCTAAAGCATAAACATTAAATATATCATGCAGTAGAGGTGTAGGGGTAGAGCGCTCGCTTCATAAGCAAGAGGTTCCGATTCAATCACCACTACATCTGTGGTAGTACCATGCTCAACTTGTTTCTCCACGCAGCGGCCTTGTTGGTCAAGGTTCATATTTTGGAGTTATAGAGTTGAGAGAGGGTTATAACCACAATAAGTAGCCTCCTCATCTGAGGTGGCCTTCTCGTCCTTTATTTATTTATACTTTTGGAATCTTTTGTTATATTTTTGTAGATTCTGTGGGTTTATTACAAAATATGTTAGAGTATACAAAAGGAAACTAAATTTTTTACATCAAAATGTCTTTTACTGTACTAAAGCAATATTAATAACTCTTCTGATCCTTAGCAATACTAATTCTTTGGCTAATAACTCTTCTCATCCTTATATGCTTATTTTGGTTTTATATTACTATGCTATTAACAGAGTAGAAAATACTTCACTGGGTACATAATAGAACAAACATTCTTTCTGTTTAAATTTTTTTTTTAGTAATAGAATAAATAAAAGAAGATGGTTAGGAACATAAAGACTTGTATATTTAAAAAAAGAATTTTTTTAAATATAGAAAAAAATTATTAAAAAAAAAGGATTTTTTTAAATAAAAACTTTAAAACTTCATAAATATATGAATAATATTTTCACTTCACCTTAAATATATCAAGGAAAAAATTAAAAAAAAAAAAATTTAACTCAAAACCTACCACCATCATCTCTCTTCTTTAGATGTTGACAAATTAATTTTGAAAAAAGTTTCTTGTTTTTTTAAATATTTATTCAACATAAACAAACATAAAATAAACCTATAACAAATTTAATTATAAAGATGAACATGATTAAGCATAAATACCCCATCTCTAAAAAGATCTGTCTATATTGTGTTCTAACTTTCATAAGTGGGTGCAAGTGACCGCAAACTGGAGGAACACCAAGAGCATCAAAATTATATTCTTTGAACTTTTTTGTTTTCCAAGAACCGCTAAAAATTAAAAGAATTATTAATAGCTTTTTTATAAGCTGAGTATCTTATCAAAGTTAAAAATATAATAAAAAAAAAAAAAATCATAATAAAATATAATTAAAAAAAATAATAAATTAATAAAATCTTGGAAACTTATTAAAAAAAAAAAACATTAAAAAAAATTATCCTAAAAACATTAGGATATTAAAGTCATTAAAGATTTTCTCTTTAAAAAAGTTGGAATTTTCATCTTAACACTAAGTTTAACATAAAACTTCTTGAAATAAAACTTTAAATTTAAAAAACAAGATAACCTTGTTAACATGTCTGTTGTTAAATCAGCATCAGCTTTTTGAACAGTTAATGAAAAGTCATCGCCTTTTGTAACAATATAACTTTTAAGAACCCTTAAAAAAATCACACAAATATAAAAATTCTTATAAATCCAAAACAAAAAGTTAAAATGAAAGCAAATTTATTCATTACAGAGTCACCCTAATAAATTATAAATAAAACTTCATCAGTTCTAAAAAATGTTGTTGGTATTTTGTTTTGTAAAGCAAAACTGCATGTTAAAAACATGTCTAGTGTATTGTAAAATTTTGTTGTTGTTTTTACTTTCTTTAAAGTTGTATAATCTAAAAGTGAAAATTGTTTAAATTATGTCAACAGAAAAACATGCACTTTAACTCTTTATTCATGATCTGTACACATAAAATCAAAAAACTTTCAATTTCAAAGTGAATTTTTATAATTATAATTTTTTTTTAGATAAAACAACTTAAATAAAAATAGCTTAAATTTAAAAAAAATGATTTAATATTTAACAGAAAAAAAACAAGTATTAAGAAGTAAAAAATAAAAAAACACGCATAAAAGTATTACTCTTTTGTTACAAGTTTTCTTTTTTTAAGATCGTTAATTTTTGATTCATCAACATTATCGCCAAGTTGTATTTTTTTAAGCATTTCTTGCACATTATCAACTATTGTGTCAACCTATACCAAAATGACAATATTACTTAAATAAATATTTTTTAAAGATATGTAAGGAACTTATATTAAAGTACGTACAACCTATACCAAAATGACAATAAATAAGATAGTAAAATAAAGCAACAAAATAAAATACTTAACTTTTTACATTTTTTTACTTAAATATTTTCTAAAGATATATAATGAACTTATAATAAACTTAAAACTTATAAAGTATAAATTAAACTTATAATACTTAAAACCAGGTAAAATGTAAAAAAGTAGTCATATAAAATAATGTTTTTTAAAAAGTATATATATATATTTGTCTTAAACAATATTTAAAACGTATATATATATTTGTCTTAAACAATATTTAAAACTAGGTGTTAAGTCAATTGTTCAAAAGTCTTTTTTTATATCTTGTTTATTTTTTTATATCTTGTATTTTTATCATCTAAACAATCATAAACATTAGCCTAAAAATATTGTTGCTTAAAAGAAAAAAAAATGCTGTTAGTTTTTGTTGAAACCTTACATAAAAGTTTTCAAGAAAAAAATTTTTTCACAAATTATTTTGATACAAAGTTGTAAAAAGGCAAATTTTGAAAACTAAAAAAATTGGATTTTCAAAATTTAATCATCAATTTAATCAATTAATCTTATTCCAAAATATTTTTAAATGAAAGCAAATAAAAAATAGTTATTAGATATGTGAGATATAATACTTTTCTACGAATTCGTGGTCCACCTTCACATAGTTTATCAACAGTCAGCCAACCTTCGGACATAGCTTTGCTGAACCCAATATTAGAATTTTTTCCCAAAGAAAGTTTCTAATTGAAATATAGTTTTTAAGTAAAGATATTAACATAACCATTATTATTATTATTATTATTATTATTATTATTATTATTATTATTAATTTATAACTTTAATAAACTAAAAGAACAAAATTTAAAACAGTTTAAAGATAAACAGTGTAACTTACTGTTCTTTATTATTAAAAAAATATATATATTTCTTTACTTGTAAATCGGATTGCAAAAGCCCATCTTCAGGAACCTCTCTAAACACAGTAGCTTCATAACTACCAACCTCTGCCATGTGCAACCCTTCGGAGGTTAGTACCCATTTTTCTGACTGCTGTAATGTTGCTTGTACAACCTAAAATTTTAAAAAGATTTCTTTTAACTTTTTATGTTTTAAAATTTGTTTAATTTTTTTTTTAATTTATTTAATAACTGTATTAATTATTTTTTATTTTATGTCCTAAATATTTCATTTTTTTATTCTAAAGTTTTTTATTTAGGTCATGATGTTAAATTGACCTTACTTTAATCCAGAGAACGCTTTTTAACTGAAGTAAATATAACCTATTTAAAAGTAGGTAAACAAGCATAAAACCCTAATTGTGAAAAAATAAAGGGTAAAAAGAGTCCTATTCTGCAAAACTCCATGAAGAACACCAAAAAAAAAAAAAACTTTCAAACCACACAGTGGTGGAACCATGAACATTAAACACTCATAAAAACTTTTAATTTTTAATTAAATAATGAAATTAATTTTATTTGTTTTAATTTAATTAAACACTTTCTTTTCCAAATAACAATTGTTAAAATGAACTTTAGTTGTTAAACAAATTATTTAACAAAAATTTCTTCCTAATTTTTAATGATAGAGTAAGTAGTCAGTGAAATTTTAATGCATCCATAAAAATTAAACAAAAAATTTTTAGTAACTTTTTAATATATATTATAGAAATCTAACAAATGCTTAAAAACATACTAATGGCTATCACTAAAATGTGTTCTGAATGAATACATCAAAACAAATATAAAATGTATGCATCAAAACATTATGTAAATTCTTTGCAAAATAAATTTTTGCAAGACATTATCTTAATTTAAACTACAAGGTATAACTTTTCCAAATTGAACTTTTGAATATAATAATTTTATCTTGATAATCATATAACAAAAGTAATGATTGAAAACCATTGTTGCCCCAGGTAATACCAAGTAAAGAACGCTCATTAAGCTTTAAAAGAGTACCCAACATAAGAATTAAAGACAAAGAAAATGGTAAGCTGTTTACTTGATTTTATAGAAAAAAATTTTGATAAAATTTTTTTTGTTAAAAATGAGATTTGATTAATTAAACAATAAATATCACAAACTGCTAAAATACCATATTTTTTAATTTTTTAAATTTAAGAGGTGAACAGATTCTATCTGATGACTAGATCCCTTCTTTATCTATTAGGCTAGCGTAGATGTATTTATAATTATTTGTTTTCAGTTAAAGATGTTAAAAGCTGGATCTTCATTACTCAATGCATGATTTTTGCTTGTATCACTATTTTTATAACTAGGCAACTCATTTTATTATCTCCAAATGAGGGTACAGCTCTAAAACTCAGTTTTATGGTTCTGAAGCCAGCTGGTAATCAGTTATCCCGAACTTTCAGGTAGCTATCAGGGAGGCTAATTTCATCAACAGCTGTAAAGTATCAGAGTACTAACAGTGCCATGTTGTGCATGGATGGTGTTCCTGTTTGTACTTTTGGTATGGATTATTGAGGGTATGTTTAGAGTCCTTTGTTATGGCTTGAGTTTGTTAATAGCAATGAGGCAGTTACTTGGACTATTAAATAGTGTACTGAGTACTATCTGTGCTTTGAGTCAAGTTCTTTAACAAATTTAAAAAAGACTAAAGTACCAAAAACTATAAAACACAAAAAAACATCATCATCACCAAGTTCTCTCAATATATCATTCACTAATATTTATGGTCTTCGTAGTATTTTTTCTTCTTTTGAGCCTTATCTCTTGCAAAGTTCACCAGACCTACTTTGTGAGACTAATTTAAGTTCAGCTGTCTCATCTTCTGATCTTAGTGTTGATAGTTATCTTTTAATTTGTAAAGACTCCAATAGTCACATGTTTGGCCTGAGTATTTACATTCATAAGAATTCCCATTAGTAGAAAAACTAGGTTTGAATCCACAGACTATTCTTTTATGTGCTTTCATTTAGCACTAATTCACTCAAGACTGAACTCTTTTTGATGTTATTTCTAATCAAATTGACCAAGCCATCACTCTTTATTCTTCAGATAATATTATTGTTTTTGGTGACTTTAATGCTCATCACACAGAATAACTTCGGCTCTAGTGTCAGTGAGCACAATTATCTGATGACTTAAAAGATTACAAATTATATGAATTTGGAAAACAAGATAAAGGGAGCGAATTCCAAAGAAGTGATGTTCAAGAAAAAAAACTAGACAAATAAGAATTTTCGGAGAACTTTGGAATCAAGACATGATATTGATGAGAAGTTCTTAGCAAACAATTCAGCTTTGTTTTTAGGTGAGGGTGACAAAATTTGAAACATACAAGCGAAGTGAAATAACAGATTTCTAATTTTTGAGTGATCATAAGCACCAATGGTAAACTTCATCTTTTTTCTTCTAGTAACTTCTAACTCTAATAGTGGTTGCTTGCATCCTTGTTGGAAGTGAAAATGTTGGCAAAAAAAAATTTAAAAAAAATTCATATTTAAAATATTATTTATACCAAGTTTAAATAAGTATATGCTTACAATTAATGGTGGTTTCTATTTTGTATAGAAAATGCACAGTGGGTTAAGTAGTGGAAGGATAAAATATTAATGTTTAACAATTAAAATTGACTTGAACTAATTAACTTTTAAACTAAAATAGATATATTTATTATACATTATATATTAAAATAGGTTTATATTATATAACAAAAGTTAAAATTTTTCTGTTTAAAAAGTTACAGTTACCTAAAGTTGAATATTTCGAAAGAAATAAAACACTTAAAAATCCAATAAAGTTTTGAACTTTAGCTTTTCAAAAAAAATTATGAAAAAAAAAGGAATTATGATTCTCTAACTAAAATTATTATTTAACATTAAAGGATGAAGAGCATATAAAAGAATCTATTTTTCTGGCCATTATTAATAGTACTTCAAGAAATAAATTTAATATTATTTACAAAAATATTATATAAAAACTGTGAACTTTTGCACAATATGAATGTAAATTTTGAACATATCAGTCATAATCTCAAAAATGGCCATACTAAACCATATATGATTCAAAAACTAAAAAAAAAAAGCTTTTGCTTTTATTTATTTCTAAAAATACAATTATGCATGTTTTACAAAAGGAATTTTAAGCAAAAAAACTGTTTTTAAGATTATTAATTGATGCATTTCTGCACACAGAATGTTTATGAGCGTTTGGAATATCATCTGTCTTTTTTTTTTTTGTAAAATAATCTCCATTTGCTCCTCTCCTGTGAAACTAATGGGTCAGAACCCCAGGCCAAGTCTTTTAAAGCAATCTTCTTAAAACATGTTTTATGACCTTATATGATGATGCTGTATTATTTAAAGCAATCTTCTTAAAACATGTTTTATGACCTTATATGATGATGCTGTATTATTTAAAGCAATCTTCTTAAAACATGTTTTATGACCTTATATGATGATGCTGTATTATTTAAAGCAATCTTCTTAAAACATGTTTTATGACCTTATATGATGATGCTGTATTATTTAAAGCAATCTTCTTAAAACATGTTTTATGACCTTATATGATGATGCTGTATTATTTAAAGCAATCTTCTTAAAACATGTTTTATGACCTTATATGACGATGCTGTATTATTTAAAGCAATCTTCTTAAAACATGTTTTATGACCTTATATGATGATGCTGTATTATTTAAAGCAATCTTCTTAAAACATGTTTTATGACCTTATATGATGATGCTGTATTATTTAAAGCAATCTTCTTAAAACATGTTTTATGACCTTATATGATGATGCTGTATTATTTAAAGCAATCTTCTTAAAACATGTTTTATGACCTTATATGATGATGCTGTATTATTTAAAGCAATCTTCTTAAAACATGTTTTATGACCTTATATGATGATGCTGTATTATTTAAAGCAATCTTCTTAAAACATGTTTTATGACCTTATATGATGATGCTGTATTATTTAAAGCAATCTTCTTAAAACATGTTTTATGACCTTATATGATGATGCTGTATTATTTAAAGCAATCTTCTTAAAACATGTTTTATGACCTTATATGATGATGCTGTATTATTTAAAGCAATCTTCTTAAAACATGTTTTAAGAAGATTTAAGAAGATTATTGGCAGAGTTATCATATAATCATAATCAGAGAGGATCAAGGTTATTAATAAAATAAAAACAAAGCAAAAAACATATATTGTGACAAAGGCATTTATTATTAACAGGTACCTGGGTACCAGCCTGTTGCTTTACTGGCCGGGTAGCATTATTAAATGAGGGGTAACCATCGTAAAATAAGTTTAAATTCAAGCTTAAATTCATTAATCATAATATAAAAATTTAATAACTATGTGATTAGAAAATCTTGAAGATCATGTTAAATAAATCATGTTAAATTAAGTTTTAATAGCTACAATTTCTTATCATAATCAGAATTTTTAAAAACATGAACATAATGCTCTATCAGAAAATCCTGTCTCAACTTCTTGTTATGTGGTTAATCAATGACATGCATCTTTGGAACCCAAATATTTCTAAACTTTAATCAGGACTTGTGTAACCTGGACAATTAAATTAAAGTAAAGTTTAGATATAAATGAAATAGATCAACACCAAATAAATGACATTTTTTAATGAAAAGTTTTTATTGACTGCTTATAAAAGCAACCTTTACAAAAAAAATTATAGTTATTTTAACGTGTATGTTGGTACCCGAATGAATGATTAAAAAAATGTTTGGGCCGAATTATTTTAAGTAAAAAAAAATAAAATAAAGATATACCAAGAAAAACAAACTTTGTTGTTTTACTCGAAATTCACCGCCTCCATGTTAGCCAGTCTCTCAAAGTCTTTAAAATATATGCCGCAAACTACAGACTTTATAATTTATTGAAAGGCATTTAATTCCAAAGGGTTTTAGTAAATGACCTCATTGTAGAATTTGGACAAGAAATCTGAAAATTGCTTTTTTAAAATCAAATTATGCGTTGTTTTTTTTAAACTATAGATTATTAAAGATTTTGTTTAGTTACTTATTATTATATAAAAGTTTTCTTTTCATCATAAATGACTGTAGAATTTCTTTAGTTA